CGAAAGCGCGCGTGGCATGTGAACTTGTGTCGTATCTTATAAGCTCTTCTTCTTACTCTCCCATTCTGACGTAGGAATTGCCTAAGGTGACATGTGTACCCTTTCTTCAAAAGTTTGCCGGCTTAGAAGCCTGTCAGTCCTGCTTGACCCGACCTCCGTCATGGACATCACACTTTCTGTCAACCATGATAAAACATAAATATCATATTCAATTTAGAACAATATTAATACTTTCTGTAATTAAAAATTAAGTGATTTAATTTACACACAAATTTTTACTTCATTCTCGACCCAACTTAATAAAAAAAGTCAAAGAGAATACACAAAAATCAAATAACTTTTCCCAACATATAACATATGCGAAAATAAAGCCAAGATTGAATAGTTTTATTTCTAATTAGAGAATATTAATTACAATACAAATTGAGGATTACTCCTTTTGGGGTGGACTTTTACTTTAACGAATCGGGTTAGGTGTATGGGATTTTTTTTATGTTTTATTTAAGTCTTAATTATTTTATGTAATCCAAAAATATAAAAAAAATCGTGGGAACTATCACGTCAGTCTTTTAGACCAAAAAGATTAAAAAATATAGTTAAGCAATCATGAGAATGCAATGGGAATAATTGAATGACTTTCTTATTATAAAGGAAGAAAAATAATTTTATTCTATAATTTCGGATAGTTAAATGGCCACCTGAGTAATGGACTCATTCCAATCTCATCTGACTTAAGAAAATAATTAATACCCTAAACCATTAAATTAACACGCTTTTATCAATTTTCTACTTAAACTATTCGGTGTCTCCAGAATTCCCTGAACTATATTGTCTTAATTATTTTATGTAATCCAAAAATATAAAAAATCGTGGGAACTATCACGTCAGTCTTTTAGACCAAAAAGATTAAAAGATATAGTTAAGTGATCATGAGAATGCAATGGGAATAATTAAATGACTTTCTTGTTATAAAGGGAGAAAAATAATTTTATTCTATAATTTCAGATAGTTAAATGGCCACCCGAGTAATGGACTCATTCCAATCTCATCTGACTTAAGAAAATAATTAATACCCTAAACCATTAAATTAACACGCTTTTATCAATTTTCTACTTAAACTATTCGGTGTCTCCAGAATTTCCCGAACTATATTGTCCTTTATATTTAAACGCCCCCCCCCCCCCCATTGCTTACCTGGCATAATGTGTATAATAATTCGCTCGGGAGCGTGTGACAACTGAAAAAAGCCATCAAATGGCCCACATAACAGAATGTAATGGCTAATTAGCCTAACCTTCTTTCAGTTTTATTTTATTTTTTAACATTCTCCTTATTTCTTTTTACATCTACCTCTCTCCCTTATTTTTTTCATCATTATTCTTTTTTTTTTTCTCACCTTTTTCTTATTATTACTTTTTTCTACTTTTTTTCTTCAGTCCTCCATAGGGTATCCTTTGAAAACTTTTCTCTTCTCTTGTTTCCTCTAAAATGTTTATTCTCTTTCTTATTTTAATCTTCTTTCAAATCTTACGCATATTGCTAAAAGAACACTTATTTAAATATTTTTATAGGGTTATTAAACTCAATCCCTTGTAAAGGATAAAGTTGAATATCTTGACCATTTCCGGAAAAGGGTAAAAAAGTACCTCTTTGCTATTCGAAAATATTCATTTAAATCTTCTGTTATACTATTGGTCGATTAGAGCACCCGGCGTTATAAAACTGGTACAATAATACTCATTTATCGTTAGGACCCTCCACCATAACAACATTATTCCATGTGGCCTTACATAGCACTAAGGTGGACACCACGCGACATGCCACCACCTATCCCATTTTACCCCCTTCCATACTTCTTCAACCCCCATCTCCCCCTTCACTCAACCACCATTCTTTCACCTTGTTCTCGAGCGAAGAAGAATGTCTCAACAAATGCCTTAAACATGGGGTAGGTCTAGGATCTGTCGTAGAAAATATATATTTGTACCAAGAAAATATTAAAGAAATATTTTTATGTATAATTGAAGGACTAATTTTCTCGTTTCGGGTATATAAACTCAAAGAGTGGACTCTTTTTTGCCTTCGTCAGCAAATTAAAATATATCTTTTATGATTAAATTTTATGGGTGATCATTTAACTTTGTGTTCATTATATAAAAGTTACTTTTCTTTCTTTTGTTACGTAAAAGTCATTCAACTTCGTGTTCATTACCAAAAAGTCATTTTTCTTTTTTCTTTTTGTTACATAAAGTCATTTTACTATGTTCTAGTTATCACAATAATAACTTTGACCAATTTTTACAAACCTTTCAACTGAAAAGCCTATTATGCCCTTGACATTATAAATCCTCCCATTTATGCAATATATTCGTACATTTAATTTTTTTTTAATATTAATTTTCCAGATATATAAGTAGCATTATTAAATTTGTCAGTAACATAAGTGTGGATAAATCTCAAGTCCACGTTCTTAATCATGCATAAGTAACAATATTTAATGAAACTTAAAAATCAAAGCTCATTAATTTCAGCCAAGCCATACCCATTAATTTAATAAATAAAGTACCCACATTCAACAAATTGGCACATCAGATTAATAATTTCAAATAAATAAAGCTTTTAAAAACTTAATATTAAACACAAATATCTTCGAAACTTTTTTAAAAAAATTATTGACTACAAAAACTATCATTTGTTAACATTAGAAGTATATTGATTTTTCCCCAATAACCGAATACTTTTGTCTGTAAATACTGCATATTTAATTCCATCCATAAATCGATTTTCTTCCCTATGAGTTATAGTCTCAATAAGAATGCTAGTTCTTACTGTTCATATATTATGATATGAATATACCACATCAATTCGTTATGTATGGATGATGAGATTCCATTGATACAGAGCCAATTCCAATAGACTTATTGGAGGGTCCCATTGGCGTGCATCCAGTAGGAATTGAACCTACGAATTCGCCAATTATGAGTTGGGCGCTTTAAAATCGTTTTTATTATTTTAAATAAATATTAAAAAATAAATATTTTTTTATCATTTTTATATTTAAAATATGTTCATGTTTGAATATGACTAAGCAAATTGAGTGCCATGGAAAAATTAAATGTATGGATATATTATAAAAATATTAAATAAAATACTTTAAAATTATTTTAATTATAAGTAAAATAAAGAGGTAAAAATATATTATATAGTATATAATATAGAAGGTATTACATAAATGAGAGGATTAATGTCAAGGACATATTAGACTTTCAAGTAAAAGTATTATAAAATCTGGCCAAGGTGATTTTTGTGATAAATAGAGCAGAGTAAAATAATTTTTGTGTACAAAAGAACGAAAAGTGAATTTTGGATAATGAACACAAAGTTGAATGATTTTTACGTAATAAAAAGAGGAAAAATGACTTTTGTGTAATGAACACAAAGTTGAATGACCACCCGTGAAATTTACTCCATCTTTTATATACCATAAAATATTTTGTAATACATGCTCATTGATTTTTAAAATTTTTGTTTTTGTTGATAATGTATGCATTAATAAAGTAACAAATATATATTGATCCTTTATTTGATCATTCTTTATTCTTCTTTTGTTCAGCTGTTGCAAGCAAAAAAATTATTTCAATTAATTATAAAACAGTTAAAGAAAATTTATGGAACTCTTTCCAATTATCGATAGTTAATATTGGCAGACAATTAGCAAGTCTAGTCCAATTTTGAGAAATAATGGAAGATCTCTCGAGAAGACGAACCTTGTTAGAGTGAAAAGAAATAACTTTAACAACATATTTGATGGAGTCACCGCCACAATTTCAATACTCTTTTCGGTAACAATTGTGGCTACTTTTTACATAGTTTTTCCATTTTTCCTGCTTTTCTAGCAAGAAATAGACATAATACTTCCATGGCATTTCTAATGGCAGTGTCATGATAATCCTCTGTTTCCTTCAAGGTGAAAGAGTGGTGGTTAGGTGAAAAGGGAGTTGGGGGTAGAAGAGGGAGTAGGGGAGAAAGTAAAATGGGATAGGTGCGATGAGGTGGCATGTCACACGTGATATTCACCCCAGTGTTATGTCAGGCTACGTGGGATAATGTTGTTATGGTAGAGGGACCTAACGGCAGAGAATTATTTTTGTACCGGGCAATGGTGAACCAATAGTAAAATAGAGGGTATAAATAAATATTTTCAAACAGTAAAGAAAAGAATTAGTGAATGTAATTGTTAGACGATTGATTGCTTATTTGTGAATCTTTTTTTTGGTATAATCTTGTTTATGTAATATAAGACGATTTATCAGAAATATAACACTATATGCATTCATCTATCTTATTTATTATGGTGCAAAGTGAATGTAAATAACAATTTATTAAATTGGAGTGTAGCATAAAGTACAATCACAATTAAACATAATGTTTATGCATTACATTAGATACTTTTTGGGGTCAAATGGTTTTGTGGCCCATTACAAGTTTATTTTTAGTTTTATGACCTCATTTTTTTTTTTTACACATGGGAGATTTACTTCTACACATAAGAGATTTATGTTTTACATATAAGAGATCTAAAAAAGACACTTTCTTAAATTCAACATTGTAAAAAGACACTTTCTTAAAAAACCCATGAAGGCCAATTACCTCTCCTTTTTGGCCAAAACTCCTTCCGAGAGTAATATATTATGAGTAAACTACATGCAAAGCTTAGTTTAAACCATAAGTTAATACAGTTGGACAGACTCACCTTTAAAAATTCAAACATCAGACTTTAATGTAAAGGAGAATATAATTCAGGAGAGTTTTTAGGACACCAAATAATTTAAATAGATAACTGACAAAAAAATAATAATTTAGGGGATTTTAGGCTGAGTGCAATGCAACAAGGAAATTTTAATACGAAGTATAATATAATTCGGGGGTATTTTGGGGAACTCAAAAAAAATGAAAAAAGGTGCGTGATTTTTAAGCCAATGACTATTAAAAAAGCCTTGGGTGACCGTGACCAATACAAAACAAAGAGAGAGAGAGAGAGAGAGAGAGAGAGAGAGAGAGGAGCTTTTTGGGAGAGAAAAATGTCGCAAGCAGAGGAAGACAAGAAGCCCAGCGGCGATCAAGTTCACATCAATCTCAAAGTCAAAGGCCAGGTTCTCTTTTCTATCTCTCTTTCACATACACACAGAGTCATGCATGTAGCGTATCGAAAACCTAGGGTTTCGTTTGGTACGGGTGTTTGTAACGTTTGAGTGTTTTGTTTAGTTTTAGACTATGATCCTTTTAGAATCTTCTGATTTTTCCTTATTGCTGTTTGATTTTCAGTAGTTTTACTTGCAGGGTATAGCGACATATAACGTTTGCTAAAATGTTTCTAAATATAGAAATGAAAAAGTAAAAATGAAATATCATCACATAAATTGGGAAGGAACGAGTACATATAATGGAAAGAATTTTTAGTGGTTTAATTGGTTGTAGCGGCTTATTTGTCCTCTTTCTAGGTTCCAATTCATGATAATAATAGACGGTTGCCTGTATTTTTGCTCTTAATTGATTGTAGGTAGTTTGATGGTTAGAAAATTTCTCTAACTTATCTTTTATTTAGTTTTGATAGTGAATTAGGCTTCTTTTATGGTGTAGGGAAGTTTTACTTCACTTTTCTTGTATGACTTTTGAGGCTACATTCTTTAAGAACTTGAATTACGTTACACCAAATCCCCTAGGCTTAGGCAATTGGATAACAGAACACTTGGTATTGTAGCCTCTGCGGAATCTGAAACCTTGGTCTCCCATTGTCGTCAATATAACTTCATCAACCTCTAGGCTACACACTTGAGGGCAAGTATCAAAAAACTATATAATGTTTTCAAGTTTTTCTTAATCGTAGGCTTTCATCTTCTAAGTTGTCTTGTAAGGCATTTATATTAACCTATTTTACAATATTGTATCAACTCATTGCGCCTAAATTTGAAATACACCCTCTAACAATTGGACTACCTCAAAATTTACCTATGATTTCTCTTTTTCATGAAGTGAGAGCTCCAAGTGCCAAGGCATGAAAACCTCATTTTAAGTGCTAATCTGCTTGGAAGTCTCAACTAAAAGGATATTTGAGTATCCTTCCTAAAAAAAGTCTTAACTAAAAGGAAGCCTCTAAAGGAGATTGAATTAAAAGAAAAGAGAAAGGAAAAATAACCTAATGCCAGATTCGGAATAGGGCAATGGTGCTATTGCTTATTCAGTTGATCTGCCAAAAAAAAACATCTATTAACTCAAATAACTGATGAAATTACATTTTCAGGCTTCTTTTGGAAAGAATTGATTTAAGAATAATGCGTCCAGGTGGTCTTTTGGGATGAAAAAGATATTTTTCCATATTATAAAAGTGACCTTGTTGCTTCTTTTGTTTGGGTTGAAGATGGTAGTTTCAACCAAATATACAAGCATTTGGTGCCTGTAGAAGTGAGGATGACAGTGGTGTACCATTTATTGGTTGTACTGGGGTAAATTTTTTCTCTCGAGATATTTACAAATTTTGTTTGTTCAATGCTAAACCAACCTTATTATAGGTTAACAACACATTGTGGACGTAAACGATCATGGTGTGATCCCTGTAGTTGTCAGTGGTAGATTCTGGTGGTGATTGTGGGATTTCTTATAGAAAGTAATCAAAAGAATAGAACTGATGATTTGTTTCTTTGGCTTTGGTAAAAGAGGACTATCAACAATGATTTACATCTAGCCATGTGCTTTTGTGTTAAGACAAGGTGAACCTGGGTTGGCTGGAAAATACCATTATTTGGAAACCTACCCTCCGATTTCGGGGTTAATTTTCTTTTGCTAATCCTTACAGTCTTGTCTTTTGTCTGGAGAACTGTAGTGTGATTGACCCCCATAGCTGCTTGTATTAATGATCTGTATGGACATCTTGGTTCCTTTTCCCTTCTTTTATCTTCTTTTTGTCATTGTTGTATGGATTATGTCAGCCTATTAAAATTTCAGAAAATGTCCATATGCGCACGCTAATGAGGAGGAAAGTGGCCAACAGTATGATTGATCTGGTTGGTTTATTTGTTGCAGGATGGGAATGAGGTCTTTTTCAGAATCAAAAGAAGCACTCAGCTAAAAAAACTGATGAATGCTTATTGTGACAGGCAGTCAGTTGATTTCAATTCAATTGCCTTCTTGTTTGATGGTCGTCGTCTTCGTGGGGAGCAGACTCCGGATGAGGTCTCTCTCTCTCTCTCTCTCACACACACACACACACTGTAGAGTAAGCCAGAAAAAGGAAAAACCGGGGGGCAGAAACAATAGGACAGAAAAAACCCACTCATTCTACTTGCTCATTTGCTTAATACTCGTTACTCAGTAATAATTTTTCCTATTTTCTAACAATTTTTCATCTTTGCTTCAGCTGGAGATGGAAGATGGTGATGAAATTGATGCAATGTTGCATCAAACTGGAGGCACAACTCTCTGAATCTTCTCCCCTTTGTTAATGGACATATTAGTATGTGTTTTCATGATTCTGAACTTTAATGGGACGGGGTTTTGTAACTCTACGACCCATATAATGTAATGAATATGACCTTGCTTACTTAACTTGCTCCAACTAGGTTGAACTTTATCTTACTGTTCTCCTACAAGAAAATCATGAAATCCGTCTCCTTTTAGCTTTCTCTATCACTAGTTGGAATAATAGAAGTTGAGATATTTGTTTGTTATTCCTTACCAATTTATGTGGCATTGTTCGGCTGGGCAATGGAGTTTTGAAGTTCCAAAGTTACGACACAATTGTATTAAAGTCCTATTGATCCCGACTTGTGGCAAGGCAAGTCTCTGTCCATCCATCCTAACTTCTGGTGATCACTTGCATCACTTGTGGCTAAGTTTTGACCCGCAAGTGTCGACTTCTGACCCATAAGCTATATTTGCTAAATCGGAAAGGGCCAAATATGTCCCTGAACTATTGAAAATAGAGCAATTATGCCCTCCGTTTGTATTTGGGTACAAAATTGTCCTTGCACTTAATAAAGTGGTTCACTTATGCCCTTCCCCACTAACAGACTCCACATCACATATAAACTCATATAAAATAAATATTTTTTTGCTGAGTTGGAAATCCGTGTTGGAGAGAAAGTCTTCTCCGTAAACCCACCATCGTATGCAGCTAAGCTGGTGTTCAATTTAGAAGGAAGGATCTCCTTAAGCTCACAAAAGCATTTGTTACTTCAATTTAGAATAGTACTGCTCGAGTCCTCATAATTTATGCTTAAAAAGATGACTTCTAATTTCATGAATGTGATGGTTGTGAGAACTCTAATATACACAACTTCTGCTCGAGAGCTTATCGGCAGTGGTCTTTGCAATAATATTCCACAAGCTATTGGCAGATTGGTTGGATCCAAAGACTTCCCTATAAACTTGTTTGAATCCATATCTAATGCTTCTTGGATTGACCCACCAAAAAAGTCAAGCACGACTGGAGTGAAAGTGTGTTTGCCAGTGTTTGGTCATATAGTGGCGGAGTTAGAGAAAAGGAATTATTATTGTTCGGTACAGTGGAGATGCAACAGTAAAGTTAGATACTTTGGTGGAGATGAAGAATAATGGACTACTGGTTTTAGTTAGTGGGTTTACTAAAAAGAAGTGATTTAACAGATGGATGAATGGATGTATCGTGGAAAAATGAGATTTGTTCATGGTTAATAGAGATTGGGGAAGACATTCTTTTTCCGAGATGACTTTTTTACGGAACAAACTTTTTTTTTTAACAGAGAAGATTTTTTTTTCCAACATGGATTTTTTGCAACTCAACAAAAAAAGTTATTTTATATAAGTTTATATGTGATGTGGAGTCTGTTAGTGAGGAGGGGCATAAGTGAACCACTTTATTAACGGCAAGGATAATTTTGTACCCAAATACAAACGGAGGACATAATTGCTCTATTTTCAATAGTTCAGGACATATTTGGCCCTTTTCCGTTGCTAAATTTATGTAATCGGGACCAAAACTTAAACAGCAACTCGGAATGATCTTATTTGTGCAATTCACCCCAAAAGAGTTTGGACAACTCGAGAGGATAAAGTGTAGAACAATACCAAACATTGCGCTCATCTTTCAAGAATCTCGCAGAATTGGCTATCCTTTTGAAGGTCTTAGGACTTTGATGTTAAAATTGCAACTAGTGGCTTTTATAGTACTCCAAGTCTTGGCTCTAGGTAAAAATAGCACGGGCTAGTTAGTTTTCGGACTGGTTATTCAAAAATAGCCAGCGTTTGTAAAGTCATTGAAAAATAGCCACTATTTTGCTGCAACACGGAAAGTTCCAGCATAATATGCTGGAGATCAGTGCACCTGTGTATGAACTTCCAGAATATTATGCTGGAACTCCAACACGCGAAAAGTTCCAGTATAATATATTGGATATTGGAACACCCGTGATCCAATCTCCAGTATATTATGTTGGACCGGTATATTATACTGGAGTATTTTTCCGGATTTTGAATAGTGTTTTCGTTCAGATTCATCTTTACCGTGCTCCAATCTCCAGTATATTATGTTGGACCGGCATATTATACTGGAGTATTTTTCCGGATTTTGAATAGTGTTTTCGTTCAGATTCATCTTTACATGAAGAATGGCTAAATTTCAATTACTTTTTAAATTGTGGCTATTTTTGAATGACCACTTATAAATCTAGTTACTTTTGAATTTCTGCCTGACTCTAGTGATCAAAATGGAGACCCTTTAACCTTATTCATGGTTTCTCTTTAAAACTAGAACCAGAGTTGGTCATATTCGGTAACTTTGTGCTTTCTACTAGTATTAGGTTCTTAATTTTGTATTATGCTCAAGAGAGGATTATATCAATTACTTTGCTTTAAAAAAAAGGTATTTCCTTAGCCCTGACTTTACTTCTAGAGAGAACGAAACTCTTGATTCTCGGGAGAACAAACAAAACGTTTCAGAAGGAAGAAAAGACCACACCACATTGTAACTAGTCTTGATCGGCCCTTTTCTCATATGTTTATCTTACTATAATTTCCACCTATATTTTCTCCCCTGTTGTTGTGTTTGAACTTTAGTCTATAATTTTTCTTTTCCTTCTAATGCTACTCTTTTCAAAATGTAATAAGAAGTTAATTATTGCCTTAACTTTTCTGATTGTCATTGTTAGCCACTAAATATTGCTTTAGGGGTACATAGATATAGTTTTATGAGGTTTATTGATAGTTCTACAAAGTACTGCAATTTTATATATCTATTTACAGAAAGCATCCGGTCTAAAATACAATGAACATTTACAAACATGTATAAACTCTGTGGTCTAAACCATTTGAAAACAATTCAAACAGTAAGCTCTACTCTACAAGGTGGTCATAAAGGAGACAACTAATTATCAAGAAACCTCAACTTGGGTTGCAAAATCACGAGTTCGATCCTAACAACCAACTATTATGCAGTGAAACCTTCTTTAAATACAGGAAAATATTAAATCAACTCTGTAAGTCCGTGGCAGAAGTATCATCTTCCCAAATCACCTTGTAGAGCTCATACCCATTTAACATGCTATTTCCATATCAAAAGGATGGTACAACATGACTCAAAAAAGAGGGTTGATCACCCCAATGATCTAGCATCAATGAATGCGAAGTGAAAGCTCTTAAACATAGCCATCGGCAAGATACAGACAAATTTAGAACAAATTGTTCACAAGTCCTTGTGAATCAGAACTCCATCCAAGTGTGAAGCAAGAAGTGTTGAGATCGAGAAACCCCTTACCTAAAGATTCTGATAAAAAAACTAAATTTCTTTAGAGCCAATTGTATAGAAGAACAATAGTAGCATTATGAAGCCAATCATATGCCAGTCAATACCAGTTGAAAGTATAGCTTTCCTGCGACACAAGTCAAACAAATCTAGGATTTTTGATACATTGGAGTCAAATGAAGAATCAAAAATATGAACTGCAGTTTTATTTCCTTGTTTAAAAAAAGAAAAGAAAGTTGGAACTCACTCTCCAAACCTCCCCCCTCCCCCTTCCCCCAAGAGGCCAATGGTGGTTACCCAACTTCTTGGTTGGAAGCGAAAGCGTCTCTATTTTGATAACCTCTTTGGCTTATAGGTGCTCTCGCTCTGGGAACAGAAGCAATAGCCCCTTCACGTCCATCTTTTGAAACGTATTAAGCTATTACAAGTGCAAAAAGACGACGGAATCATTACACTTCCAATGTAGGAACTCCGGTGGTACAAGCTCATGGTGACTTAAGTCTTTGCAGAAACTGGGATTCATTGCACTCATGAAGAAGGGAAGTACCCCTTGAAGCATTGGACAGAAAGGAGGAGTACAAAAAAGGATTCGTGCACATTAGACCATACAGCGCAGGCAAATGAAAAGAATTGTCTGACTTTGTCATTCAATCTCTTTCTCGGGTCCAATATACATGGTACAACATGCTGAAATTAAGATTATTATACATCCAAATAATCTGCCAATAGATGGAATGATTCTTGATGAGCCCATTCCAAGAAATTGTGATAGTGCAGCCTGAAATACAAAACAATATCGTTCAGTTCAATGGCTGGTCTCTGGCAGAGGAATACGAGTTTGCAATGGCAGTGAAGTACTGTTGACAAGTCCCTATCGAAGTAGCACCTTGCATAGTTGAATTGCAAAGAGTTCCACATACACCCAATCCAAGAATGAACCATTCAAATATTTATAACTGCTAGTTAGAGGTTGAATTATGTGACCACATCATCTAAAAGCTTGACATGTTTATTGATTTAACTGTATCCCTAACACGGCCCTCAAGTGCGAGCCAGATTTTTTGTGAGTCAAGCATACAGAAATTCTTTAACAGTGGTGTGTTGAGATTCAAACCTTTTCCTGCTTTCACTTGAAATGTGTGAGAGTCCATTGCTCAAATGGTCACTCAATTATGAGAGAATATGTTGTAAAGACATCTTTTAAAAAAAAAACAGAAAAGCCACTTGTTTATACACGTATCAATCACAAAATCATTTATCCGGATTTGTCCAAGTTCCGGCTGCCAAATGTAATGTGGCATTTTGTATCAGTCCACATGGACTTAACTAATGCCAAAATTAAAAATAAAACCCGACCCGCAACAACCCGATTTCAATATACAAAAACCCTAGCTCCCTCCTTATTTTATAAAAACAGTGTCTTCCTCCTCTCTCAGGCAAAGTCGATTAAGGGCATGGTTTCACTCCAGTCCAAAATTTCACTTTTGAGGTTGTTGCGGGTCGAGTTGTTGTGGGTCGGGTTTCATTTTTAGTTTTGGTATTAGTTAAGTCCATGTGGGCTGATATAAAAGTGTCACATAAGCTTTTGGCAGACGAAACCTAGACAAATCCGGTCAAGTGATTTTTGGTGTGACATGGTTATAGAAAAGTGACTTTTCTATTACCAAAAAAAGGACTTTCCTACATAGTTTTCAATAGTATAATCACCATTTGAGCAACGGACTCAATTATATGAACACCTCACTTAAAAGATCGAACTTTTAAAAAAGAGACACTTTTAATTACTTAATACTAGCACTAAGCTACTAACATAAAGAAAACTTCACCATTCCGAAATGTCATTAATTATCAATGTTGTTCTGACAAAATCAAGCAAACGGGGTAACACAACAGACTAATCTTCATCTACAGTTTGTGCAAATAACTTATTGAAAAAAAATATTATGCAGA